CCCTCCCCTGCCGTCCTCCTCAGGACCCGTGGCCTCCCTCCCCTGCCGTCCTCCTCAGGACCCGTGGCCTCCCTCCCCTGCCGTCCTCCTCAGGACCCGTGGCCACCACAGCCTCAGGAAGCCCCAACACGGCCCCAGCAGCACGGAATGCCAACCTTGCCTGCCAGAATCCTGTGTGCAGGAACGCCGGCCTCACCTGACTGCCGGGACCCTCTGTGTGTGGAGCCCTGGCCTGGACTCCCTCCCGGACACCGCCCAGAGCTGGTCATCTCCCCTGGGGCTGCTCAGGCGTCTCAGAGACAAACGCAGACTCTACCTGACCCCATTCTAGAACCCTCTTTCAGCCCGTGCTCTCCCATGGACCCCTCGGCCTCCAGCCCAGGCCCGGGCAGGGGCCGCATCACTGCAGGCACAGCCTGCACAGACACCGGTCAGGTCCCAGAGGCTGGCGTTTTCCTTGGTTGCTGGACACTGAGGGTGTGCGGTTATAGGGGTGGCCATCAGCCTTCCCCGCCAGCATCACCTACTCCACGTGGACCTGGCCTCCGGGGCCGCAGGTGGCTTTGCCTCACCTCTGTAAGGCAGGCGAGGAGGGGAGAGGGAGCCCCCAGCAGGCCCCAGGCTCCAGAAATCCTCTCCTTCCTGCCTTCCTCAGAGCAGCCCTTGGTTGTGGAGTGTCTTCCCCAAAAACTGCTTTTAAATGAAAGGAGGTGGGGAGGGGGTGAGCGGCTCTTTCCCAGGTGCCCGTGACCTCATTTCATTCCTGAGATCAGGACGAACGTCACTCCGGTGAAATGTTACGCCTGTCTGGGTTTGAGCGTTCCTGAGATCAGGACGAACATCACTCCTGTGAAATGTTAGGCCTGTCTGGGTTTGAGCGTTCCTGAGATCAGGACGAGCGTCACTCCGGTGAAATGTTAGGCCTGTCTGGGTTTGAGCGCAGGCGCTGTGGGCAGGGGCTGAGGGCCACGCGGAGCCACGCAGGGTCCCGGGTGAGGCCACTCGTGTGGGCTTTGTGACCACCAGGACACGTCCCCAACACTGTCCATCCGTGGACGGGCGAAGAGAGGTGCGTGGCGCAGGAACACCGTGGCTGGAAGCAGCCCAGGAAGCTGGAGCCCCAGACATGGCTGAGCCCGACACCGCGGCCCACGTGGCGCCTGCCCCAGAGCCCAGGCCGCAGCCACCGAAGGAGCCAGCACAGCCCAGCCTCTGGCTTCCGTGGCAACTTACCTTGACTTCTTGGGGCATCACCAACTGAACCACCCAGCTTTCCTCTCCCAGCCACCGCCGCTCTGGCTCCAATATCTGGACCCCCACCGGGCCCTCAACTGTGAGACCCCACAGCCCAGACAGCTCCTGCTGGGACACAGGCCACTGTGGGCGTCCCCTAACCCCTGTGCAGACCCCTCGTGGAACTGTTCCATTCATAAAAGCCTGCCTGGAAACCCAGGGCAGTGTCTCCCTGGCCCAAGTGAGAATCGTCGCACACATGCAGTCCGCCTTGGGCCTCTGCAGGGCCGTCTCTGAGGCCGGGGTGTCCACTTCCCTGGCACACCTGGCAGGGCCCTCACCCCTATCCAGGTGTCCCTGAGTGGCCCTTGGCAGTCACAGGGGGACAGTGAGGCGCAGTGGTGACGGGCCAGGGCCTCACGCCGCGTGCCCGGCCTCCTCACCCTCCTGGGCCTGATGCTCCTCGGCCACAGGAGGTGACGGTTCCTCCCTGAGAGGCTTTGGGATAAGTGGGGCAGGCCTGGGCCTGGGAGCTGCCCTGGGGCAGAAGGAGAGCCCCATGGAGGCTGCTTCGAGGCTCTGAGGGGACACGGCTCAGGGGCTGCTCCAGGGACTTCATTCCTGGCTCAGGCTGCAGGAATCCTGCACTAGTGGGGACTGTGCTGCTCCTGCACACTGAGGGGGACTGTGACGTGGTCATAGGCTGGGCACCTACCGCCTGGTTCTGGGGGCTACTGGGTTTAAGGTGGGGGCTGGGCTCTGCCCCTGCTCCCTCAGGACTGACGGGGCCAGTCCCGGGGCACGGGCCCAGCTGCCCTCTGCTGCCCAGGAGCTGGAGCTGGTGTGCCTGACCCCACGGCAGCCCTGCCCAGGGCACCCTCCTGGCTGGGGCAGCACGGATGCCCACCTGGGCCTGTATCCCGCCAGCCATGGTACTGGCCCCAGCCCTGGACAGGCTCTTCCACAGCCAGGAGAGGCCAGCACCCCCCAACACCACCACAACTGGGAGGCCACAAGCTCCCTGCACCCACCGGGCAGGGGGATCCCCCCAGTGCCCGACCTTCTGCCTGGTCTCCAGGGCCCACCTCGCAGGGCCAGAGTCAGCAGGGGAGGGCAGGGCCGTCAGCCAAGCCCAGGAGGAAGACGCTGGGCTTACCTTGTCGTCCGGGCCGCTCTCGCTGTCGCACTGCAGGAACAGAGAGACAGAAGTGAGTCAGAGCCGCACCAACTGGTGTCACCCGCTCGGGGCATGGTAGCAGCCAGGCTGCAGGGGCACGGGGGGGGGGGCCGCCCTGGCTGCTGCCAGGAGCGGGAGGTGCCAGCAGGCTCCGGTGGTCGGGGCGGTTAGGAGGAACGTGGGCCAGGGCCCGGAGCTGCACCAGACAGACCTGGATCACAGCCCCCCTGGGTGCGATGGACAATGGGGCACAGCCAGGCCAACTCACCAGCGGTGGGGACAAGACCGGCCCTGCAGCCTGAGAGGAGCCCTCACTGGTCAGACCCTCAAAGCAGGGCGGCCATGAAGACCCCCACCCCAGGCCAGCCAGAGCCTTCCGCACAGCCAGGAAGGAGGGCAGCCTCTGGCCCAGGACAGCCCTACTGTCCCCAGTGACCCCCGAGGGGATCGATGGCACCACATGGGCTGGGAGATCCAGGCACCCCAGCTCCTCATGGTGGGCAGAGCCTGGGAGCCTTTGGGGTCAGGACAGCCGGGGGCTGGGGAGGGGCTGGCAGCGCACAGAGGGCCACGGCCGCTCAGGCTTAGACACCGGATGCCAGCACCGTCTGTCAGTTTGGCTGGTTAGGGTGGGGGTGTGATAATCCCGAAAAAAAATCCGCTTTCCATTTTCAGTGAGCAGAGCTTTACCAAGAACACACTGACTGCAGTGTCCCCTAAAAGAATCAAAAGAGGAAAAATCCCTTCCTGACAACTGCGATTATGAGGTGTTCACGTCGAACGAATGACATGGTGGAAGGTAAACCCCCCAGTGCATGGAGGGTGGCGAGTGCCAGCCGGACGTGTGGGCGGCGCCCCCCTGTGTGGAGCCCCCTGGATTAATGCAGGTCATCGAACGCATGGCCGCCCTCCATGTCCAGCTGCAGCTGCAGAGATTTTGGTGACGGAGTTCACGGCACGGTGTGAAACGCGCTTTAGCAGACACTCTGCAGCCAGAAAGGGCCGCTCCCAGTGCGTGACAAGTCACACTCCAGGTGACTCCTACTGGTGGGACCCCAGGCAGCTGGGGTGGGCCTGTGCGGGGAGTCTCCTGAGGCTGACAGGCTCCCCCAGGCTGTCTGTCCCGGCTGTGCGCTGCCCTGGTGGGCTGGGCCAGGACCCCCACGGCGCGTGTTCTTTCCCACACAGAGAGGAAGGTGGGAGCCTCTTCTGGCTACACAGCCGTGGCCAAGCCCTCTCCTAGGGTCCCTCCTGGTGTGGCCTTTCCGCCATGGCCAAGCCCTCTCCTAGGGTCTCCCTTGGTCTGGCCTTTAGGATGAGAGGCAGAGGAGAAGGGCCTCAGTCCCACCCGCACCCGTCCAGCCGGGCCCACCACACAAGTACTGAGGGCTCCAAGTCAGAACCAGGCCCGTCCCGCCCCGGAGGCTGCAGGTGCGGAGCTTGCCAAGGGTTGGGCACAGGACCCTGACATGTGGACCAGCTTTGCTGGTGGCCCTGGGCCCCTGGAGGCCTCCATCTCCCCTGCTGTGATATGGGCGGGCCTTGGTGTCTGCTGAGGAAAGTATGAAATGGAACTGCCCAGGCTCAGCCAGGAGCAAAGCAAGCAAAGACCAGGAGGTGGGGCAGGGGAAGGCCCAGACCAGGCACACAAGCTCCTGCAGGGAGCGCAGGGGAGGGGAGGAACATGCCAGAACATGCCAGAACACGCCAGGGCTGAGAGGGCCAGAAGAGGGCAAAGCAGGAGCTGAGACTGTGCCAAGGGTGCCCTCTGCACACGGGGAGCCTGGGGAGGGCAGAGAGGGAGTGGGCCCTGGAGGCGGGACAGGAGGCAACCCCTCCAGCATTCGGAGGCCTATGGGGGCGTCAGGTGCCCTCTGACCTCACAGTGGGACTTCTGGGGACCCCAGGAAGGCCTCTCCCTGCTTAATTTGCGCTGCAGAGCCTTCGACTTGGAAACGGCAATCCCACCAGACTGTCGGGTTTCGGCCAATCAGGCCTTGAGAGCAGCTTGACACTTGGGGCCACACGGGTGCACCCGTGGCCTAGGGGCCACCTGCCCAGTCTGGCCTCTGCTCTTGTCCCTGCACCCAGATCCCTGCTTAAGCCTGGGTTGGCCCTGAGACCCATGGGCTGGAGCCAGCAGCTCCCACAAGCCCAGACCTAGTTACAGATCTCCCCATGGGTTTCAGGTCTGTGACTGGACCCAGCCAGGCTGACCGCACAGGCGAGGGTTTAATGTATCCAACAGCAAGGAGGCAGTGAGGGGTGCTTTCCAACAAGCTTTCCAGCAAGTGCATGAATCCTCTAATTAACCAAACAGCACGGCATTGTCAGACAGGCACAGGCGGGGCGTGAATTAATTCATGTTATTAAGTCCTACTGAATTAATGTTTAACTGCAGTGGAGTCGGCATGGAATGAGGCAATTAATCAGGGCAAGGAGGAAAAGGAGAGACACATCTGTCTCTTGGGAGCTGCCTGAGTGAGGCGACCTTTCACGGGGCTGGGGCTGGGCTCAGTGGCCCAGGGAACATCACCCTGTGTGGGTTTGGGATAGGCAGGAATGCCTGGGGGCAGAGGAGAGACCCCAGGCCCCGAAGGGACATGCTGGGCATGGTCAGGAGGCCAAGACTCAGGCTCCAAAGACGACGCTGGCTCCATGCTTCACTGCCCCACACTGGGCAAGGCCTTGAGCTCTCTGTGTCTCAGTTTATGCTTCTGTAAATAGGAACAACTTACAGGGTTCTCCCTTACAGCTCACAGGGTTATTGTGTGACTTAAATAAGTGAATATGTGCAAAGCACTAAGGCAGCACTTGATATATAGTACATTACACACATACGACGGTATCATCACCACCATCATCATCCTCATTGCCATCACCATTACTCTCATCACCATCATCACCATCATCCTCACCATCGACACCATCACCACCATCCTCACCATCACCATCACCACCATCCTCACCATCACCATCACCATAATCACTATCACCATTGTCACAACTATCACCATCACCACTGTCATCACCATCTTCACACCACCACCATCACCATCCTCATTACCACCACCATTATCATCACTATCGTCATCGTGTCACCATCCTCAACGGCACTGCCATCACAATTATCTTCACCACCATCACCATGATCACCATCATTACCATCACATCATCCTCACCACCATCTTCACCAGTCACCATCACATCACCCTCATCCTCATTACCATCAGTCACCGTCACCATCCTCACCATTGTCAACCATCATTGTCACCATCCTCACCGTCACCATCGTCACTATCCTCACCATCGTCACCATCCTCACCACCATCACCATTGTCACCATCCTCACTATCATCATCACCATCCTCACCACCATCGTCACCATCACCATCGTCACCATCACCATCATCGTCACCATCACCATCATCGTCACCATCATTACCATCATCGTCATCATCATCGTCTGCCCACAAAGCCAAGACTGAGAAGATGCCCTCTACCCTGGAGTAGATGAAGTCTTAGTCTGGGAGTTTTAGAGTCTCTCAGCCCTGGCAGTGCTCATGCTTGTCTATGATCCTGACGGCCAAAGCTGGAAAGGTGAGCCCTCCTGCAGCCACAAGGAGACCCTGACATCAAGTCTTTCCTTCTCTACTCGTCCTGAGCTCCAACGGCAGCCAGCAGGCAGCAGCTCCCTGTACCATGGTCTGCCAGCCTACAAGGCCCCTCTGAGTCTGTCTGGCCTCACCATCCAATAATGGCCCTCGAGACCACTTGTCAGTGCTTGTTCTCTCCACCCATGCTCTCAGTCAGTCCGGTTTTAAACCGTGCCAAGGCTCGGGGCCCCTAGACCACTTAAACCCGGGTGCCTGGGATGGGAAGTAGCAGTTGGGTGATTCTGGTGAGTGGCCGTGGGGACAGCCTCTGCCCCCGAAACACTGGACTCCCTTCCTTCCTCCTGCCCAGGGCTCTGGCCCTCATGCCTAAGGTGTGGGGCAGCCAGAGGAAGGCACTTGCCAGGGGTTCCAGACCACTCAGCAGCGAGGGTCAGAGGCCAGGTGTGAGCCAGGGCTCCCCACCCTAAGCCCACAGCTCAGCTCCCCCAGGCCCTGGGCAGCTCTATCTGCCCCACCTCTATCCCAAGCTGGGTGTGAGAGCTGCGGTGGGACTGAGAAGCTCAGGCACCTGTTTCTTCCTCCATGACAGTGGGTTCCTCGACCACCCCAGGGGCCACTGCGTATCACCATATTCACAGATGTGGCTGTGAGGTGGGGATGCCTAGCACCTCCAGGCTCCATTAGAGGCCTTCCCAGACCCTCACCCGTGGGTGGACAACGGCCTTGAGACGTGGCTTTTAAAGCCACAAACTGGTTTGGTTTGGCCTGATTTTTTAAAAATTGGCTGCCAACATTTGAACACCTGGAGACTTCTCATGAGCACCAACAGCTGCTTCCTGCTGAAAACAGGAAACTGCATCCCCGCCTGCCAGCTCCCTGTGGACTCCTGACACCTCCCCCAGCTTCTGGGCCCCAGCCCTGGGGTGTCAAATGCTGGGCACAGCCTAGAGTTAATGTGTACCCTGGAGCCCAGTCTGGGCCGGTCCTGGCCCCACTGCTTCACGGAACCCGGTCTGGGCTGGTCCTGGCCTCACTGCTTCGTGGAATCCGGTCTGGGGGCTGGTCCTGGCCCCACTGCTTCGCAAGCCCGGTCTGGGGGCCGGTCCTGGCCCCACCGCTTCGCGGAACCCAGTCTGGGCCGGTCCTGGCCCCACTGCTTCG